GCTACACGCAGTTTATAGGAGACCTGGAGCGTGTGGTCAGCCTGCTGCTGTGCCTGTCGGCCCGTCTGGCCCGCGTACAGAACGCCCTCAGCACTGCCGACGACAGCATGGACCCCGAGGAGAGAGTGAGTTTAGATCACACCAGGTGTTTAAATGAGGCGTGTCTTTATGTGAATAACTAGGAGGGGCCCTAAACACACTAAAGCTTGTTAAATAGCTTTGAGAGTGACAGTCATGTGTTCTGCTGCAGCAGCAGTTGATGGTGTCAACACTGCCTGACCGAAACCATTCTTTAGTTTCGATGAGTTTTGCCATTACACTGCCCTCTTGTGACAAATATTTGAACACCATGAGCCTTCAAACATTACAAAATTCATTTTGACAGTAAAGACAAGATTCTTCACAGGGTTGCCAAGTCTGAGGTAAAATAGGGTTACTTTTACACTGTCGCCACTTGTTGTTTTTTAGTCCATGGGTTAAAGCTATCCCTCCCCCACCTTCAAGGAAAGCCGTTTCAACAAAACCGCAGAAAAAAAAATGCAGTTGGGCTGGTTTTGTTTCGCAGACCTGGCAACCCTGGCTGTTCCCTAATCCTTCTATTCATAAAAGAATCCTGAAAAATATAATAGATCTCAGTTCTTCTCACAAACATATGAAGCAGCACAACGGTTTTCAACATTGATAATAATCAGAAATGTTTCTTGAGCAGCAAATCGGCATATTAGAATGATTTCTGAAGATCATGTGACACCGAAGACTGGAGTAATGATGCTGAAAATTCAGCTTTGATCACAGAAATTACATTTTACGGTTATTTTAACTTGTAATAATATTTCACAATATTACATTTTTTTCTGTATTTTTGATCAAATCAATGCAGTCTTGGTGAGCAGCATTTTTGGTGTTAATGGCCTTAATGTCTAAATATATACCTAAATGCATAAAGAAGCAAATTGGCTTGGAATTGGAGTTTTATTCCATATTTTCCAATTTATTTGCTCCAGTTAGAGCTTTGTGGCCATTTCTGATGTTTTAACTGGTCTTCTCATGCACTGAAAAGTTTTTTTTTTTATTTGAGTAAAGAATGTGAAGATTGTGTGTTTTTATTGGTAAAAACTAGTCATTTAGATTTAAATAATAATAATAAAAAAAACTTATTATAATAGTTTATTTTTTATTAGAATAAAATGATATAGGATTTCTGGACAAAAAAAAAAAAAAAGTGCAGTTTTCATTTTGACCCAGAAACAGATGTTTTGAAGATCAAGTATTACTTTGTGTAGTTTATCTCTCATTTGTTTCACAGACAGTTGTGGATGATGGGAAAATGGGACAGATTTCTTATATTTATTAAATAAGTTCCTGTAGTTTCCTGTGTGTGAGACTGCTAACGTTAATGACGAATGACTTGAGAATTGTGACGCATCAATAACATCCTTACGACTTTCCTCGATCCACAGCAATCGCTGGACATCCGCTACCGTCTCCTGTGCAAGCAGAGGGAGGACGCCAAAGACTTAAAGGACAACCTGGACCGACGGGAGCGCGTGGTCTCCACTTTCCTCTCTAAACAGCTGACGGACACACAGCTGCAGGAGTACCGGCGCTTCATTCAGACCAAGGCCTCTTTACTCATCCGTCAGAAAGACCTCGATGAGAAACAGCGTTTAGGAGAGGAGCAGCTCGAGACCTTACTCAGCAGTTTACCTCCATGAAACTACCGCACACGGCTCTCTAATGCCTGAAGGTGCCTTTTGCGGCTGTTTTGCAGAGACTGTAATTACTCTGAGATGCTGTGTTTCATTTGACATTTGTGCTGTAGTTGTCGCTGACTTTGGAAACCATGGAAAGCTTTATTTAAGAGCCCAGGAATGGTTTCCTGAGAGCTTCAAGTAGATGAATGAGAAATGCACTCTTTCAGATATGCATCACAGAGCACTCTCAAATCAAGACCAAAAAAAGGATGAAAGAAGCACTTTTGATAATAAACTGCACATGATGAACCTGGATATTGTAATTGATCCCGAGTGTTCATTCGTATTGATTTCAGGGCTTCATAGTGTAACTTTTCATACATGCCCTTTTGTCCTGTAATTTCATTTGCCACTATCATGTTGTATGTATATTTAATGTTCACTTTTATTCAGTTTTGAAGATTCTCTTTAAAGATGTATTTGGTGAAACGATTGAAGTCTGTATTATTTAACTGCCATCATTGCCAGTGTTGGGGGAAAGTTACTATTAAAAGTAATGCATTACAATATTGCGTTACTCCCTAAAAAAGTAACTAATTGTGTCTATTTATGGAAAGTAATGCTTTACGTTATTTTTGCGTTCCTTTTTCTCATCTGGGCTGGGCTTGCTTGTTTGTTTTAGTATAAAAAAGTTCTATTTTTGGCAAATGTAAAAGCCCTTTCACACCAAAAGTGAAATGAATAAGCTTCAGTCTGAAGGAAATGTAAATTCACGTCTGTACAGTAGAGGGCGCAGCTCAAACAAACCTTTCAACTGTGCTGCCAAAAAACGCTTTTCAAAAAAATGTAACATAAATGTTATGTTTATCTAAAGTAATTTTTGCTCATTATTATGGTTGACTTGGATCATCGAAAGTCAACAGCAAAGACACTGTCAGTCAATAAATGAGAAAACAAAGTAATTGGCATCTTGTTTAAATTAAAAAAAGTAATCCGTTACTTTCCTAGTCACTTGGAAAAAAGTAATCTGATTACATAACTGGCTTGTAATGCGTTTCTCCCAACACTGATTGATCATTGCACATGTAGTGAGAGCCTGAACACACAAACCGTGGTAAAATCACCCAAATGTTTTCGAACTGATCAGGGTTATGCTATATTTATTTTGTACTTATTTTGGAAACCTCATTATTTCTGTCTACTTGTTGACATTGCAATTGCACCTCAGTGTATGTGTTGTGCACTTTACACTCATTCCGTGTCTTAAAATATCATTAGACCACCCAAACCAGCTTTAAATTGCCCTGACAGCACATGTACATCACAGAGACGTCTATTTGATGTCTGTATTACATCTGCAAGACGTATTTTTTAGAGTGTTTGCTCATCTGCAATACGTCTATATGACGTTTCCAATCAGATGTCAAACAGACGTTTAGAAGATGTCTTTAAGATGCTTATGATTTAGATTGAATGTAAAACTGACATCTTAAAGACGTCTAGCAGATGTTTGTACGCAGCAGATGCTTTCCAGATGAAGAGATCTTTAACAGACGTCTTGCAGAAGTACGTGTGCTGTCTGGGTACATTTTGGGTTTGCAAATGGTTTACAGTATGTCTAGGAAATTGAACTTTCAGAAATGCATTTCTTGGCTTTCGCTCCACATTTTTATTCGCATTTCTTGTGGAATACGTGAACATATGCCTTTGTAGTTGGCTAAACAAAGTTTGTTTTGGCTTTTGGTCTCCGATAAGTCATTTTCTGTCAAGTTCATGCTCATATGGCCTGAAAAAAAAAATCCTAAGTCATGTGAAAGACCTAGTTCATCAGTGAGTGCTGTTTTGTCTTGCTGCCATCTTGTGGTTTTCTGAGTATTGTGTTTGTTTGTTTGTTTTTTTTATCTTGGCAGTTTCCAGCTTATTGTTATGTGGAATGCATAAATTCCATAACCTTTGTTTTATTGTGAATAAAATCTGTAAATGACATTCCCTTGCCGTGCATCTTAAGTGTTTCATAAGAACAAGACAGATGATATTAGTTGTGGTGTGCGTTAAGGCAAAATCTTCTGGAAAAATGCTCTGAAATAACAGATTGTGAAAAGTGCTACATGAATAAAAAATAAATCGATTTGTTTGATGTTTAGCCTAATTCAAATAGGTGGGTCTCTGGGTCATATTATAATAATATTTATATAGATATTTCTAAATTAGCCTATTTAAAGACCATTTAGGACCACAGACATTTTCATATTTTTGTGATGCATATGAAAATTTAGGGGGAAATGTCATGTACATAATGCCACATTGTAATAAGAACTTTCGGGAAGGTGGGTTAAATGATGTAACTTCTCAAAGGTCAAACGCATCCATCTTTTCTACTACATTTTCTAAGCTCTCAGCTGATGCAATACAGTAATACAGTAATGTTCTGCTAAAGGAGAGTAAAGGCCTGTCATGCATGTCAAATAACACACACTCAAGGCATTTTGTTTCTCTTCTAATGAATGCAGCGGGAGGAACACGTGACCCATCTCAAGGGCAGAAGGTCTCTGACTCCCGAATTTTTTTATCCACTGCATCGTGGGAACAACAAGAGATGCAGCTGTAGGCAAAACTGTTCACTTTCCATCTTGTCAACCCATGAGGGCCCATGTTGGCTTAAATTCCCAGCACTGGTTTCCTTTACTCAATCTTAATTGTGGCTTTTTTAAAAAACAAACACACACTGTCAGTAAGACTAACCACATCTAGAGTGTGCACCAGCTCACACGAGTCTGAATCTGTTCTTATTCATCACTGGCTCAAGAAACAATATCACATATATACAAAATAAAAATAAAAGTACAATTCAATTATCTTAGTTTGACATTTTTTAATAAAATGTATTTATTGTTTTTTGGGGTGGTATGATTATGGCATTAGAATATAAGATCCCACAGTTACAGGTTTTCCATGACCATCAGAATACAGGATTATGCTGGACTAAAAATAAATGTTAATCAGTATAAAGCATGACCTGAATGTGTTCTACATTAATTACAAAAATACTCTCTAAATTTTGCCCAGCTTGTCACAACACCTAAGTGAACGTGTGCAAACATGCGATGCATAAACAGCCAGAAAGGAACATTTACAGAGGTTTTGGCCGCTCCCAATGAGTTAAGACAAGTAGCACTCATATTTCAACATTTACCTCATGATTTACAATTGTCTGTAATTGCTACATTTAAATCTGGGGGGAAAAAGAAAACATTATATTATACTATAATACAATGCAATATAATACACATACAAGTACATGACCATTCAAAAGCTTGGGGTTGGTAAGATTTTCATGTTTTTGAAGGCTTTTCTGCTCACACCAAAAAATACAGTAAAAACAGTAATATTGTGAAATATCGCAGACTTCACCAGCCACTCGTGCTCCACGGGATCAAGCGGGCAACAGTGCGAGTCCTTCGGCTCATCCGCTTGTTTAGGGGTCTTGAAGAGCCTCCGTAACTGTGGGGAGCCGCCAGCGAAGGCCACATTGTCTGTAGGCGTTCTCCTCTTACACCGAGGCGAGGGTTGAAGCTCCTGTCCAGAGCCCAAGCTCTCAGTGGAAGGCTTCTTGTTATGATGACCCATGTCTATTTGGGGCATTCGTAAAGGTAGAGCACACGGCTTGTTTGTGCTTGCTTCTTTCTTGGCGGCTCCCGAGAAATCGGTGTCAGACTTCAGCGGGACGCTGAAATGTAAAGACTTTTTAGGTTTAAAGTCCACATTCTTGCTTCTTCCCAAAGCAATCTCTATGGGAGAGAGTGCCGTGGTGTCGTCTGAAGCCTTTGACGAAGATCTGCTCAGAGCTTTCTGTTCAGACTTCTTACCTTCGGCATTTTGGGAATGAGTGGATTTTTCCTTCTCATCTTCTTCTGGATGTGATCCATCTTTACCGCAGTCTTCTCTTGGTGCGTTTTCATCGTTTGAGGCTTCTAGTAAATGATGGTACCCTTTCTTTAGGACTATATACTTGGAGTCCTGGAAGTCTTTCACGACAGCAATGTTGTTCACAAACGTCTTGAAGAGATCTCGGTTCTGTTTCTTCTCCGCCGGATCACTGCAGTTTAGTAGATCCTTGAACTTGCCCAGCAGCTCGGAGTTTTTCACCTTTCCTCTGCCTTCTAATAATGCGTTTAAAATCGCCTCTTGAGTCAAAGCCATTTCTTAATGCGTCTGGAACATTAACATACGTCTCTCGAGGACACCTGGGCTGTAGCCACGCCCTTACCTGTCTTCCGGAATGAATGCAGCGACACGTCATGTAAATAAAAAAGTAAGACGTGGGTGGGGGCGGGGCTGTGCAAAAGTTTAAAAACACACCTAAATTAAGTCTTTTATTTATTTCAGCATTATTTGTCAAGGATAAAGGTATTCAGCTTAGCTAGTTAGTATTTAATTGTTAAATCATTTAAAATAAAATCATATCCATAATAATAATAATTCTAAAATGATAAAAATCTACAATCTGTAAATTGCATGTACTCTCCCATGCGAGTGTTTGAACGAATATTATGCATGTCATTAAACGGTTTGAAGTCATGAATGATAATTACTTGCATATTTCTTTATTTAGCTAGAAGCTCTACCTTGCCATGTCTTAAGAAAAGACATTCCTGAAGTCAGTGGGAGTTTCCAGGAATAAGCCATATTGAGCTAATGCTTTTTGTGAAATTATGAATCCTAGTATGGCGAAATATTGTCTCATGAATATTAATTAGTCGTCTCAACCGGCTACATAATCATTCTTGAAGGTCCAGGCACGTCACATAATTAATATTCAAGAGCCGTTGGAAACCAAACGGCTCTGGGCGTGGTCAGATTCCTTGGTTCTGCCTTTCAGCCAATCAGCGCACAACGTCACATTGCGTCATTTAAATTCATAAGCCCTGCCTTCACCATAGTAAGGATCGTAAATTCTCCATCCCGACCACAGTGTGTGTGTCAGCAGACGGTGAGAGAGACGAAGGCAGGCAGGCAGGCAGCTCCCTTTTGCCTTATCTAAACACATACATTCCTCATTATGGCGGCCACGGATGTAGACATATTTTCTGTAAGTACCCTTTCCAGTCAGTTCTTACTTCCTGTTTTCCGTTTCCACTCAGTCTTTACAGGTTTTCTGTAATGAAGTGGGACTAGCACGAGCGCTACTCTAGCTTAGCCCAACGGTCTCTGTCTACATTGACCAGTAGTGCAGTCTAACGTTGTTTATTTACTGCTTTACCGTGTGTGTATGTTTACTACAGGTGTATTATCTGTCTTAATGGGCTTATTCTAGCCATATAAGGTATTTCTACATTGTTTGTGAACAAAAAACGTATTTTCACAGTCTACTGAATGTTACTTGTGAATGTGATCTTCTCTTTATTTACGCTACAGGCACAGATTTCGGTTTACTACTGGAGTATTTCAGTGGTATGCAAGATTGCGGCACGTGATTGCTTTTGAAGGCAACATGTTCACTCAATTACCACTTTGTTGACATCTTTAGTGTTTTACTGCTCCCAAATGCCAATTGAAACATCACTACAACAGTGAACGGCTGTCTTCATTCTCGCAGCTGTTTGTAAAGTTTGGGGCCAACATGTGGCCCTTCAGTTTGAGATCACAGATAAGAGCGACGAAAAGGGATGTCTGATATCTGATGGTCCTACAGTCAAACTCTCTTTGGAATATTTGAGAATCTGGTTGATGATGTGAAGGTTAAGAAGATTACAAGAATGCAGTAAGATTTCAGTCTGTGTAAATGCAACGAAGCAGGATGCTGTTGATAAGCCACCTTGCTGAAAAGACCTTTGTTTTGGATGCTGGTAATCTGGTGTCCCCAGCAGGCTTCTTAACTTCCTTGATCTTTCTTAATGTCCTTAAGCAAGACTTCCTTGGTCAACAAGCTTCACCAGAAAAACCGTCTCAGTCCATCCTACCTTTGGGAGTTTAAAGGATTAGTTCAGTTCCAGAATAAACATTTCCTGATCATTTACTCACCCCCATGTCATCCAAGATGTTCATGTCTTTCTGTCTTCAGTCGCAAAGAAATTAAGGTTTTTGAGGAAAACATTCCAGGTTTATTCTCCATATAATGGACCTCAATGGGGACCAATGGGCTGAAGGTCCAAATCACAGTTTCAGTGCAGCTTCAAAGAGCTCTACACGATCCCAGCCGAGGAATAAAGCTCTTATCTAGCAAAACCATCGCTCATTTTCTTAAAAAAATTAAAATGTATATACTTTTTAACGAGAAATGCTCATCTTGCACTGGCTCCGCGATGCGCGTCTGCAAATTCACTCATTACGTAATCAGGTTGGAAAGGTCATGCATGGTTAGCTCTTCGTCTGTGCGCTCCAGTTCAGAAAGGAAGGGTAGGATGGAAAACTCCATCTCATTTTCTCCTCCAACTTCAAAACCGCCCGACATCGTTTTTTTACCTTCGCCTTCATCACTTGTGACCTTTCCAACGTGATTACATCATGCATGAAGTCCAGCTAGTGCAAGATGAGCAACTGTGGTTAAAAAGTATATAATTTTTTAAAGAAAATGAGCAATGGTTTCACTAGATAAGACCCTTATTCCTTGGCTGGGATCGTGTAGAGCTCTCTGAAGCTGCACTGAAACTGTGATTTGGACCTTCAGCCTATTGGTCCCCATTGAGGTCCATTATATGGAGAAAAATCCTGGAATGTTTTCCTCAAAAACCTTAATTTCTTTGCGACTGAAGACAGAAGGACATGGGCATCTTGGATGACATGGATGTGAGTAAATAATCAGGAAATGTTTATTCTGGAAGTGAACTAATCCTTTAAGCAGGTTTATTAACTTCGTGTTTTGAGTGACGTTAACGTAGATGTGTTAAGAATACTGATTGTCCAGGATGGATGCCTGGGAATGCTCAGGGAATTACTTTTCCACTCCTAATTTTGAGGAAGCCCTCTTGATTGTTTGGGTTCGAGAAGGCTAGATAATAGTTTGTATGTGCTGTGGAAGTGAAACATGGTGCATTGCTGTAAAAGTCACCGTTAGACTCTAAACTTTGAATACAAGCATTGTTTTAACAATACGTTGAGCTATTGGCTGAATGAAATGTAAGTGTGCTCTCACAATTAATGCCTTTTGATTAGAGGTTTGTGTGGTTTTAGGCGCCATATTGATCAACTGCATTGAGCTGTGGAGGGTCAGTTTTAATTCTAATTACATAATGGGCAAAAAAAAAAAGCTTTAAGGGACAGTTCACCCAAAAATGACAATTCTGTCATCATTTACTTAATGTTCTGATGACTTATGGAAATTTGCTGAATAGTGTAAGTGACTGGGCTGTCGAGCTCACTACCATAGCTCTAAGATCTTAGTTAATAATTTACATTTTACATTTAATAATAAATAATAATTTACAATAATTTACATTTCTGGAACTATCCCTTCTAATCTCAAATATCTTTCTATAGTGCAGTCTTCTTACTGAAGGATGCTAAGGATTGGAACAAGACGGTCCTGTTCAACGTTAATTTCATTTATTGTATCATACTCTAGTTTCAGGGCAGGGCTGATGTAGTTACTGTTATATAAAGCTATATGTGTTTTGAGATGAGTCAACATCCTGTTCATGCTTAGATGCCACTGACATTAATAAACACCAACATCACGTGATTCGAACGATATAAGACCCTATTTGGCAAGAACATAAATGCCTTAATGGTGTCATGTGTTTGTACTGTAATTTATTAGAGTAGAGTATTAAATACAAAACTTTACACTTGTCTTCAGATTTAAGATGACATGCAACTACACAGTCAGTTGTGTTTGTGCACGCGGTTGCTTGAGATCTCTTATAGAAAAAGCAGATAAAACCCAGTCTGCTTTTTGTTGATGCCATACTGCGAAAAAAAAAAAAAAAACCCAGACCATCTGCATTCTTCTCCACGTCGGCCCCTCCTCCCTTCATATCAGATGGGATGCCAGCGAAATTTCCGATGAGGGTTGTGTCAGTTTGCTTAAGCGCACATGTTCAGGTGTATGTAGGGGGTGAGAATGGAGCCGTCCCCACAAATATCAGCTTAATCAGCCAAATACCTATAATAACACAAAATGCTATAAAATATAACCTAAGCCCTCATTAGTCAACCGATGTGAGTTTTTGGTGACTGATGTTGATACAAATATCTAGAAATGTCTAATATCTAGAAAGTGGGGATGGTGGCTAAAATAAAGCCTTTGTATGTTATATCAGCTAAAACTATTTTGTTCTAGTAATTGAACATGTACATGCATGACATCATAAAAATATTTTCTGAATAATAATAATATAAGACAAAATGTGCATTATTCATTGACAAGGATAATAGGAATGACAGAGGAGCGGTAACACTTTTATTTATTTATTTATTTTTTTGTCCAAGCGAGCATGGCTATCAGTCATTGCTAATCAAAATGGCCCAATCATTGCTGATTTATTGGCTTGACCAGTACACCATCACTCATTATCCACAATTGCATTAAGTTATATTCATTCAAGCTTATTGTTGCCTTGTCCTTTATGTGAGCCTCATTTATTTCAGTACATGTCAACCTCAAGGACTAAATCTCTGATTCCTCCATAGAATGAAGAAAAGCGTAACCTCAGCCTTGGTGGTCATGTCGGCTTTGACAGTCTGCCCGATCAGCTGGTCAGTAAATCGGTGACTCAGGGTTTCTGCTTCAACATCCTCTGTGTGGGTAAGCAACTATTTAAGATCTTAGTTAATAATTTACATTTTACATTTAATAATAAATAATAATTTACAATAATTTACATTTCTGGAACTATCCCTTCTAATCTCAAATATCTTTCTATAGTGCAGTCTTCTTACTGAAGGATGCTAAGGATTGGAACAAGACGGTCCTGTTCAACGTTAATTTCATTTATTGTATCATACTCTAGTTTCAGGGCAGGGCTGATGTAGTTACTGTTATATAAAGCTATATGTGTTTTGAGATGAGTCAACATCCTGTTCATGCTTAGATGCCACTGACATTAATAAACACCAACATCACGTGATTCGAACGATATAAGACCCTATTTGGCAAGAACATAAATGCCTTAATGGTGTCATGTGTTTGTACTGTAATTTATTAGAGTAGAGTATTAAATACAAAACTTTACACTTGTCTTCAGATTTAAGATGACATGCAACTACACAGTCAGTTGTGTTTGTGCACGCAGTTGCTTGAGATCTCTTATAGAAAATGCAGATAAAACCCAGTCTGCTTTTTGTTGATGCCATACTGCGAAAAAAAAAAAAAAAACCCAGACCATCTGCATTCTTCTCCACGTCGGCCCCTCCTCCCTTCATATCAGATGGGATGCCAGCGAAATTTCCGATGAGGGTTGTGTCAGTTTGCTGAAGCGCACATGTTCAGGTGTATGTAGGGGATGAGAATGGAGCCGTCCCAATTTGGCTCTTCTCCACTGTCATTCTGAGAACCCATCTGCCTTGAACAATCTGTGTTGTCCTAGACTCCATTATAGATTGTCTATGCATGGCGTCACTGTTCCCTGCAGAGTTATAGTTTTAAATCATCATCTTATTAGCCGCTGGTCCAAATGATGGATATTCAAATCTAATTTGTCTTGAGAAAGTGTTCACCCAAAGGATCCCTCATCATTTTCCAAATCGAGTAATGTGATACAGATGAAGCCATGGTCATTAGTAATTTTATGAACCGTTTTGAAGCTTAAAAATGGAAAACTGCAACCAGTACATTATTAAAAATATCTCTTTTAAAGAAGAATGTAAATCGGTGATGTTTGGAGTGATTGTTTTTTTAAGTGTTTTTGGATGGGGTGATTCTTTCGCAAAATAACGCATGGAATGTTCCTCAATTTGCACACAGCTCTCGGTGTTCTGTCAGCGTGCATGAATTCGGCCTGTCACTGTGAGGGCGGGTTGAGAAAATATTGTTGTGTGGCCCAAACGCTGCTCCATTTCCTCTTGATCTACTGCCCCCTGAGGGGAAATGTTTCCCCTGCGGCGGGGGCATTTGCTATCAGCCCCTGTATGGGCATTGTTCAAGCCTTCCCAAGTGTTTTTTTTTTTTTTATAACTCCCTCCAGACTGCTTGTTTTCCAAAAACGCTTTCAGCCATTTCCCCTTCACCTCATAATGCTGGATCTACCCTTTAGTGCCTCCGCTTTGAAATGACACAGGGGTCGGTGCCGTTATCTTTTGTACTTTATGCGTGTTACGCCAGCAGAACTGCTGCTTCCCTCAGTAGTGTGCATAGTGATCGTCTCCGTGACATCATTCACCAAATATGCGCCCTGCATTGGGGAAGAAGACAAAGCCAGACAAGGGAGGAGCGCATTGATTTCACAGTTTAAGGGAACTCATTAGTGTGATGAAAGCCTTTTAGTGGGTTTTTAGATTTGTTTGGTGCTGAATTATAGGATTTTAATTTGAGAAATGCTTTGAATGACCGATAGTGTAGAATGGTTTAAAGTCGGCGTGAAATGCATAGCTGCTTTCTATATGCCTGTCATAGATTCTTTCATGCATGTTTCACATTTTTAAAACCGTTTCAGCGTATAATGTTTAATCAAAATGTCTTAACCTTTTCGATGAAATGAGACTTCTCTCTGATGAAGTATGCTAAACTTCTCCAATCATTTAGTCTTCTTAAATCCTACCTATTTCTTACAATCAATTGCATCCATCCAATCAACAACCGATGCATAGAACTGATGCATAAGTCCAGCCCTGCAATTGTTTTTTTTTCGATAATCTGTTTCACAATACAAGAGAAAAGATCTGATGCTACTTCTGTTACATTGCAACTTTTACACTTTGATTACCGTCTGCTGTTACTTTAGATTGTCAAAGCTATTTTATTAAGTGTGGCCAAAGCAGAAATAAAGCTGCTGTCAATTCAAACTTCTTTTGTCAATAGAAATTGTGAAGTATAAAATAGATGCATGTTGGAGTCAAGTTTGTATGTTGAGGCAAGAGGCATTTGTGTATGTTCAGTTACGGTGATTAACAGAATTTTTTTTTTTTGATGTTATTGCTGATATTAAAAACATATACTGCTTGGCCTTTTTTTAAACAAAAAATGCCATTGACAATAAATGAAACTGCATGCTTTAAGTCAAATAAAACAGTAGTTTTAAAACCTGGAAATTAAGTTTTGCTTGTTTGATCCACATGAAAAATAAATCTCATATTCTGCACACAAATATCAGCTTAATCAGCCAAATACCTATAATAACACAAAATGCTATAAAATATAACCTAAGCCCTCATTAGTCAACCGATGTGAGTTTTTGGTGACTGATGTTGATACAAATATCTAGAAATGTCTAATATCTAGAAAGTGGGGATGGTGGCTAAAATAAAGCCTTTGTATGTTATATCAGCTAAAACTATTTTGTTCTAGTAATTGAACATGTACATGCATGACATCATAAAAATATTTTCTGAATAATAATAATATAAGACAAAATGTGCATTATTCATTGACAAGGATAATAGGAATGACAGAGGAGCGGTAACACTTTTATTTATTTATTTATTTTTTTGTCCAAGCGAGCATGGCTATCAGTCATTGCTAATCAAAATGGCCCAATCGTTGCTGATTTATTGGCTTGACCAGTACACCATCACTCATTATCCACAATTGCATTAAGTTATATTCATTCAAGCTTATTGTTGCCTTGTCCTTTATGTGAGCCTCATTTATTTCAGTCCATGTCAACCTCAAGGACTAAATCTCTGATTCCTCCATAGAATGAAGAAAAGCGTAACCTCAGCCTTGGTGGTCATGTCGGCTTTGACAGTCTGCCCGATCAGCTGGTCAGTAAATCGGTGACTCAGGGTTTCTGCTTCAACATCCTCTGTGTGGGTAAGCAACTATTAACAGCCCGTTTAAACTCTACGCTAGCTCAACATCTGATCTTGTAGTAGAAATGCTAATCAGTCATTCTCTTAACGTCAGGTGAGACGGGCATCGGCAAGTCGACATTAATGAACACCCTTTTTAACACCATGTTTGAAAATGAGGAGGCCAGCCATTACCAAAACGGTGTTTACCTGCGGCCCAGAACATACGACTTGCAAGAGAGCAACGTCCACCTAAAACTGACTATCGTCGACACGGTGGGCTTTGGGGACCAGATCAACAAAGAAGAAAGGTACAAAAACTGCTTACTGCTTAGACCAGAATCATTGTTTTGGAAGGTTGCACTGAGAAACCAATGATTATATACAAATAAATCAGTTAGATGGACCCACATGCTTTGGTTAGTCACTTGACCTGTTAATAAAAACATTTGCTATAATTAGGGCTGGGCGATAAAACAATATCATATTGAGTCACAATAAAAATTGTTGATAACATTTTTACTCAATATGGGTTAATCTAACAGCCAGTCAGTGCTTGATGCTAGTAGGCTAACTCTGCGTGTCTCTGTGTGAATGAATGTGAATGGTTTCGTCTGATACACAAACTCAAACACACGTGACGCTCACTGTGATTTCAGCGCCTGCGTCTCAATATACGAGGACTTGAACACGTGAACTTCATCTCCAGAGCTACTCTGAGAGTCACTTCAGCAGCTTTACTCCGCTTCATCTGAGAAAAACTACCATCAATACACACTGAAACTGAAAGTCCTTTACGACAACCCATCAAAATAAAAGTCCTGTTTAACTTAAAGAAATTATGACAGAAATAGATTACAATTGTATACTAAAATGTAATTCTAAAATAGTAGTAGTAATAATAAAAATAATAATATTTTTAAGGAATATCATACAACCAAGGTATCTTTTCATTAATCTATCCACCTTATTTTTCCCGTAAGAGTGGGCGCGGTAAATTTTATGTGTCTGGCTTCTGGTCTCATTCGCGTCCAGCTATTTTTACCTGTACAAAACGGCTCGTTTTGCTGCTTGATATTGCATATTGGTGTGTCTTACCATATTATTTAAATGTATTATCTTAATTATGAACACACTGGTTTGTAGTGCAAACAGTTTTACCGTTTTCTGCACTTTGTTATTCTTCTCGTTATTTCCCTACTGTGGCTAATGAACCGGAAGTCTCGCCCATAGGCTTACTTCTGCATTGAAGAATAAGGTGGATACAGTTATACAGTGCTGTTGTGCAGCTTATTGGACAAAAAATAAAAATGCAATGTTTTGTTGTAAATTAATTGTTTTCATTTCATTAGAATCTTTTATCATTTTTAAAGATTGATTAAATTAAAAGTTTTATTAAAGGATTAGTTCCCCATTAATGGTAAATGACTATCATGATAAATGTTGATATTGCATATTGCAATAATATTTTTGGCCAATGAAGTTTTATATATTTATTGTATAGGGAAATATATGTTTATCAGTAACTACGAAGCAGCAACAGAGTGGCAGCATAATCTTTGATTTTTTATATATATATATATACACACAGTGGTGTGAAAAAGTTTTTGCCCCCTTCCTGTTTTTTTAATTGTTTGCATATTTGTCACACTTGAAAGATTCAGATCATCAAACAAATTTTAATATTACACAAAGATAACCTGAGTAAATACAAACTGCAGTTCAGTGTGAATGGAAAACATTAAATGTATTATTATTAAACATGCATAAAATATTTTCATATTTAGAAATTGTATTTGACTTGAAATTGCTAAAGCCATGAATTTTGCTATCATTTTTGTGTGTATACAGGATGTCAATAATGCTGTACTGATGTATTTATAATCCTTAAATATGTGAAAATGTAGGACAGTGGGCAGGGGCTTCTCTCTGTCCAGTGGAAAAAGAGCCAATCAATTTTTCATTTTATCAGAGAGTAACGTGAACGACAGTAGAGCTTGGGGTTTCTGTTTTTTAGGAGATGCACAGATGGTTGGTAATGATGTGGCCCCATTAACATGCTGAATCATTTAAAAAAAACAGTATATTGTACAATATTATAAAAATGCTCAAGATAGTAAAACATCATCAAATGACTGATTATTTTCCTTACAGATCGTCCATACAGCTAGACTGCAAGGCTTTTCTTGATTAAATACTAGATGCATTACTTATGCAAACCCCCCTCACCACTCATGAATTTTAAAAACATTGATGAATAATTCCAAATTATGTTTGTCTTTGACATATATAAGAAATGAGAAAAATGTTTTTAAAGCTTGTTTGACATTTTTTATTACATTTTTTCATCTCTGTAACACTTTAGTTACCAATTCTCACTATTAACTAGTTGCTTATTAGCATGCATATTGGCTGTTT